ATGATTGAAAACTACAGACCCATCTCGAAGCTGTGTGTGTTCGCAAAGATTTTAGAAAAAATCGTATACAGACAAGTCTACGCTGCCCTCAAACTTGGTTTTGGTGAACACCAACACGGCTTTCTAAGGGGTCGTTCTACCACATCTAATCTTATAGTGTGTTGTGACTTTATTTCTAAATTCATGTCACAAGGGTCACAGGTCGATGTTATATACACCGATTTCAGTAAATGTTTCGATAGAATAGATCACACAATCTTAATGCGTAAACTTTTGAGTATGGGTGTCGGCGGCAATTTGTTTCGATGGTTTACATCGTACGTGGAAAACAGATGTCAGACTGTTGTACTTAATGGTTATACGTCTAGAAGAACACTTACAAATATTCCTTCGGGCGTCCCGCAAGGATCGCTGTTGGGACCTCTGTTATTTAATATATTCATCAACGATATTGATAACTGCTTCCTAACCTCAAAAATTATTCTTTATGCTGATGACTTGAAAGTAATGAAACAGATAAATAGGGTCCAGGACGCCATAGAACTACAGGAAGATCTCAATAGATTTCAGGCGTACTGCAAAACGAATAAACTGGATTTAAATGTCAATAAATGTTACGTGTGCTCCTTTACACGTAAACATAGCCCAATATTTCAGGTTTACAAATTATTAGATACCCCATTGTCTAGAGTCAGTAACATTAAAGACCTTGGTGTTACTTTTGACTCGAAACTACTGTTTGATACACACATTTATAACATTGTTAGCAAAGCCTCCAAAGCATTGGGATTCCTACTCAGAGTTTCAGCAGACTTTAAAAATATTAAAACAATAAAAATACTTTATTGTTCCCTAGTTCGCAGTCACTTAGAATACTGTTCTCAAGTGTGGAATCCAATGTATAACGTCTATATTGATAGAATAGAGCGCATTCAGAGAAGGTTTTTAGGATATATACAGTATCGTTGTAGTTGCTATTTACCTGATTACGTGACCCGGTGTAAAAAATTTCATATTCTTCCACTCATTGAAAGAAGAAAAATAGCGGATCTGTCGTTTCTATTTGGCATCATGAGAGGAGCGGTTGACTCCTCTGAACTTGTGAGCAAAATTGCTTTAAACGTCCCGACAGCGCATCTTCGACGATTTAACTTGTTGCATGTTCCCATTGTAGATTCTAAGTACAGGCAAAACTCATACATGATCAGAGCGAGTCGCATGTATAATGCAGCATGCCGGAGTGTTGATATCGACATTTTTTCTTCTAGTGTCACTAAATTTAAAAAACAACTGGGCAACGTTTTCTTCGACCAAGCATAACAAACAAATCACATTTATAATAATACCTATGTCTACTGTCCTATCATCCTACCATGTTCAGAGTTGTCTTCATTGTTCTAGCAGTGAAAACTTTTAATTGGCCTTCACCTATTAGTCTTATATCAATTGTAATTCTAGCTGTAAGTTTTCCTAAAATATAAAAAAAAAAAAAAAAAAAAAAAAAAAAATTGAAGCATCATCTCCATACACGGTGTTCTACCACGACACATACGATCCAAAAATTCGATCGGCATCTAACCACTTTATGCGGCGTCCAGAGCACCAATGGCACAAAACACGAGAAAATTATATTTAATTTTAAATTTAAAAGTCATCACTAGTGGTGGACTATAGATATCAAGAAATCAGTGAAACATTTTGAAAAAAAACAATATAGAATACGAGAAGATTAATACAATTTGTTTTTCCATATGGGAATTATAATGCTTTCCTGACTATTAGAACTAACAATTGAGATGCACCGTTAGTGATTTAGAAATATTTTATAATTCCCTACCAATCTACATACTTATCTCAAAACACGTGATCTCGGAAATGTTCTGGTAATTAATCCAACCGACGACATGCCTGAGGATATTAACGTGTGGAGGAACGGTTGTCTACACAAGGGGAGGCGAGGTGATCATGCCTGGCCCCAACGGTTCACGTAAGGAAGTTGTAAATGTATATGCTAATCGGCAAGAGAATTGTTCATATCGCGATACAGGAATAGCAGTTACTCCGTAGTTCGGTGTGTTTTCGTTAGATGGCGCTGTAGTCTTTTTCGGTGTATGTGGAACTCGCCACATCACTCCGCTCCAAGACCTGAGGACGATATATTGATGAGTCAGCTGTCTCTGTCCTGTTGTGGAACGTGCCAGTAGTAAATAGTTCCAGTATGTCGGAGCGGAAGTTCGCTGCTCCTAGTGCGATGTAGTCCTCGGTGAGTAGAGGCGGTTGCTGCGTAGTGGCTGGCTGCTGAGTGGACGGGAGAGAGAGATGCTCTTCTTACGTGAACCGTAGGTGCAGTATGCTGTACCTAGACCACAAGTGAAGGTCGCCACAAACGCATCCACGTATCTATTTACCATACCTTTTATTCAAGACATGTATACAATTAATCTTGGTAAAATCTTGGAAAGTAAAAGTTAGTAAGCATAATATTCCGTATTCACGATGAATCCCAGGCCTGTTCCTTGTTAGGGTTGTTGCTGATTTAGGTTTTTACTATGCTGATGATAAGTTTCTTCAATAAATATATTCTAGTATAAAATTATTAGCAAATGTAACTTCATATTTTGAATAAAACACATTTAGTTACAACGTTTAGTTATCTTTTTTATTTATAAAGAAGATAATTTGAAAAATCAATAACCCAACTGCAAAAAGAAAATTTAAAAGTAATGCGCTAAAAAGACCGAAACAGCACGAAGTCCGACACAAACATGGTCATATTTTGGCTATCAATAACTTTTTTAGGTGATTAATTACTTTAGCCATTTAACGAAAAAAAATACGAGAATAATTTTCAGTAAATTATTTATTTGACTGATGCTCGATACGCAATGTATGATTGTTTTAATAGATTTGATCATACCGATTTTCTATCTTGCACTTTGTGATTTTTTGACAATATTACTTAAAAAGTTTTTAGACCTATCAATGATATGATATTTTGGCCTTTGGACAAATTCCACTCTTGGCTTCGTTTTTAAACACGCAATTATCGCGCAACTCGGCACAGCGATATTTTTTTTATGGAGCTCGTTCCCAGCGAAAGCAATACGCGCGCGGGTACGAATGTTTTCAGAGATACACGCACGCTTGCTCGTAACTCCGGTGCGCCGGCCCCGCCTACATCTCATTTCTAGTTTATTCACTGGTTAAATCTCTACGTGACTGGCGCTGGGGCCCGCCTTCAACGAACTCGTTACGATTTGAATATCAGCATTAAAATCAGTATCGATTGTTGCGAAAGCTGATACGCGCAACAACTCTGTTCCTTACATTGATATAATACTTACATAGATGAGTAATTACCGCCGAAAATCGTTGCTACTGCACATCTGTCCACAGGCATATGCGTAGCAAACGTCAATTCAGTATTCAATGTGGCGTCAACCGAGTTGAACATAGCGACACATGACAGTAACAATCGCCAAAATGGCTAAATGCGTAGTGAAAGAATGCGTTTCAAGGTCACAAAACATTAATAAATCATGCGGAATTACTTTTCACGTGTAAGTTTATGGTTTTTGTATTGATAATATCGTAAATAAGGCTATAATTGAAATAAAACACTGATAATTTTAATTTAGAATCAGTGTTACCATTAAAAAATCATTTTGGTTTTCCCACATTAGTGGGAGATTTTATAATTTGTGAAATAATATGCTTTATACTGTTTTTAAACATTTTGCCAATAATAATAAAATATAGGAAGAACGGTAGTTGTTAGGGCTGGACCGATCACTTTTTTTAGGGACCCGTTGAACGTTCACTGCGAGCTTGGCAGAAGTGCCAAGCTCGCAGTGCTGGAGACTTTTGTACAAAAGAATTAATTCATTGTTTTTCTTAATTTATTATCAATTTTAAATAATAATTGTACAAAATAATAATAATAATAATAAAAAATGTTTATCATAAAAATAAAAAATAAAAATATAAAATAAAAAGATAAATAAACATAAATAAAAAAAAATTTAAAATATAAATATTTTTTTTCTTTTTTTATTTGTTTTTCAAATTATAATAGAATTTGCAATACACCCTGGGGATTATTTATTATCAGTACAAGTTGATCATTCACTTTTATTATTAAATGCTATTATTTTTACATACGTAAAAATAAGATTGTATCATGAAAGTAAAATATCCACACAAACTTATAAAAAAGAGTCTAAAAGACAATTGTATACAAAACTGATGCTTCACAGCGCAGTTTGATTTTACACTGAATATAAACCCTTTTAACCAAATATTTCCAGTTATTTTATTATTTATACCTATTCTATTCAATTCGAAATATATTATTTAGAATATTTAAATTAATTTACTTTATTACAAAATTGTTTTAAAAAAAATTGTTTCTTAGTTGTTATGGGTAAAATTTCATACGGTAGTCAACACTGGCCCACCATCGTAAAGTTATATCTTTGTCTTTGTCTAATCCGAGCGATGGTATTGTTCTTGTCTCGCGTGTAAATGAGACATAAATATGTTTACTTTCAAATGTTTAGTGGTATCAAAGCTACGTCGTCAAAGTTCAAAAGTGGTTACACTTTTTTCGACGTGTGATAATGAGGTTTGCTTCTCTAGTGTTGTTTTAACTCAATGGTTCCTTATAACAGAAAAGACAGCTAACAGTCATTATGGGGAGTTGTTTACTTTATAGAAAGTTGGTAGATATTTTTTTTACCAATTAACAAGATCAATCATTTAAACCTCGGTAGGTAAGTATCAAAGAAAATAGGTAACTGTATAAAACCTTTCAATAAGCATATTTCAAACTACTTATAATATTGACATTTTATGAAAAAAAAAACCGTAACCATAGATGTAAAATACGTAATTCTGTAAGATTTCACCAAACTTTAGATGAAATAAGTAAGTTTACGAATTGTTTGTAAATTTACGTGTTATAAATTTGTCTTTCTCATTTTATAAAACCGTTATTACTCATGGAATCGTTGTCAAATGGAGCGAAACGTAAAAAACGGAAAACCCGTAAATGCTTAGACGAAATAAGAAAAAGATCACGACGCACGGGCCAAATTTTATTTGAGAAAGACGATGGCAGATTTGATGAAATGTTCCATAACAAAAATATACAAAAATGTATGTTAACTTCTAATCGTTTGACTTTGAGAATGTTTCCCAAAGCTATTCAGTCCAAGACAATCACGCGGCCTGTATTATTAGACTTGGAACATAAACCTAACTTAAACTTGGATGAACTTGTAAGAGACACTAACATTTATAAAGCACAAAACAGGAATTTTAGAACGCCTATTATCAGCAATATTGACAATAACGGGGAGTCTTTTCAAAATAAGAGTCATAACTCAAATTATAGCTTAATCGAAAATTCTTTGATAGAAAATGAACAAATTGTGAAAAATTGCGACGATAAGGAAGACTTGGAAATGTTCAGTTCTATGGACGAATTAAATAATAAATCCCCAATCAGTATGGGAACGCCACCAGCATCTAGTATGACATCGTCGTCCACACAAAGTTTGCGAGAAGATAATGGCTACAATTTGTATGAGGAGTTTATGTCGGAAATACCTGCATGCTTGCAACAGAACTCAAAACTCATCCAAGAAGATGTTATGAAAAAAACAAAGATGCTGTTACAAAATCTTTTTATAGAAAGTTGCTATGAAGAATGTGAAGATAATATATTAAGATGTATCAAGAATGATAAGGCTAAGAATATGTATTATACAAGCACAGAGGTGGTGCATAATCCCATGGACTACATTAGACAAGGCCATGTACAGCACCAGACTCTATTCCATAACTCGAGTGAATCTATTTCTGGCAGTGACAGTGCCTCTCAGTCACCGCTGAGAGATCCCTCATGTCTGTCGTCACCATCAGACACACCATTGAGTATTGTCATACAGGACACGCCTGACTACACATATTATCCGCATAGATTAAATTAAGTCTGACCAAACTGAGTATTTGCTATTAAAACTACATAATGTAGATTTTGATTGTACTTTTAATGTGGTATAGATATAATTTTAAGTTAAACTAATACTTTCTAATTGATTTATCAGGTCCATGTGTTTAAAGGTGTCAGGACTTGTTGTAAATGTTTGCAGTAGCTGTGTCTTGGCAGCATCTTTACCACTGTAGTACATCTGAAACTGATTTGCCAAGCACTGTGCTTCTTGGCCGGTCAATACATTCTGCAATAAAATATTCATAAGAATAATTCTCAGAACAAACTTAAATACTTCAAAAGAGAATGCAAATTAAATCAGTGTAGTTAAGCAACTCACCTTGTCATACTCTCCACGCATCAGGACAATTCCTTTATCTAGCAGCTCAGTGTAGTGCACCATGGTGAGGCATTCTGGAGCATTTTCCTTGTGCACCTAGATTTAAAACATTTTAAATTACTTTATAAGGCCAACAGTTATAAAACATTAAACATAGTTTAAAGTGACCCTGACTCCTATGCCACAGGTTGTGGGCTCGATCCCACCCAGGACAAAATGATTGTGTCATGAACACGTTCCTTTGTTGTGTCTGAATGCAATTTATCTATAATATGTATTTAGAAATATTTGAGTATGTTTATCAGCAGGCTGGTTACCCTAGCACAGGCTCTGCTTAGCCCTTTTGGATCAGACAGAATTGTAGGGTTATTATTAAGCTGCAAACCTGGTATGCAAGGAGAGGTGTGAAGTGTACAGTGTGTCCATAGCACTGACACATGATGAACTCATAACCCTGGTCTCGAGGCAGAGGAAACAAAAAGGTGGCCCACTGCTTCATATTGTTCTGCAGATGTATGTATGACTCGTGAGGGATGGTTGCTGATATTACTTCTTTGTGCTTATGGTATTCCTCCCAGAGAGATTGGATCTCAGTAGGTTCCTTATCTTGAACCAGTTCTATTTTCAAAATGTCATTCAGTTTTTTTTCCTGGACTTCACAGCCTTCTTTTAAAGTTTCTTTAGGATTTAAAACCGAAGAGAATTTTCTGAAAGAATTAGTTAAATTAACACATAGCTTCAATGACAGATCCAGAGAATTGAAGACTGCAGGTACATACAGGTACAAACCTTGTATCCACTGAAGCAAATTTCTTTTTTCTTTCTTCTTCTTTAGTTTTCTGTTGTTGTTCTATTCTTTGAAGAAACTCTTCAGGAGATGTTTTTTGTAAATCTGCTATACGTGTCGCATACTTTTCAAAATATGGATTAGTTTTTAAATTTTCTAGCGCTTTCTCCATATTAGTTGTAGTCACACTAAAGGTGCGTAAACTCGATGTTATATAATTCACACGCTTCAAATCCCTGAGCAAAAATCGAATTGCTACTGCCATTACCTAGGGAAATAATCTATTTTTATGTTCTACAGCAGGAGGAACTGTGGAAATCACTAATGAAACCAAACATTTGTTATATCCAAAATTTAAATTATAATATCCATTATAAATATTAACCACTGCCTTCTCGTTTCTTGTGTTTTCAACTAGTTCTAAATGTCAGAAAATCATCTAGGACGGTATATTGTGATGTCAATCTCATGTGGTAAATCATATGATTTATAAATCATACCTATCATCACGCCTGTGACTAATTTACAAAACTGATTTACTATTATTGCGCTAGCTCGTAAAAGGTCTAAAACTCAAAAAGAAAAAATCATATGAATATGATTTTAAAGTTGTTATCTTTTTTATATCATAAACTAAAATAAAGTATATTATATATAAAATATATATAAAACTCACCTCATGTTATTGGTCGTCTCAGTCATCACTCAGAATACCGATAATATGTGGTGAGTGCGCTCTAGCTCTTATGTTGAATGTTGTCTGTCGACCGCTCAGAAACAATTTTTATTCGATCTATGAGGAAATACCAAACCTGGTGACTCTCACAAAATCGGCTGTAGACGAAGAAAAAACTCCAAATCAACCTAACAGTGGACAAAATAAGACAAAAACACAACTACTAACTTCGGCCGCCACTTCAACTTTAATTTATGGCAATAGTGGCATTGAACATAATTTAAGAGTATTCGAAAAATGACTCTCTGATATCCATTTTAACAGTAACTACCTTCTAATTTCTTCAAGCAGCAAATTATGTCATTTTGGTTAAATTAGAAAATCAAAATTAGGCCTAGGGCCGACCGAGAACTCATCATATGCCATATTTTAGGTTAGGTGTTGTATGTAAATATGTAACTAACTTATCAACTGGCATTACATGTGATCAAGTTCAGCAGAAAATCTAATAATATTTTAAAAATCTAAAATTATTTAAATAATTGTGTCGCTTTCGAGCAACAGAATTTGACAATGACGAACTTCAAAGGTCTCTAACTCACCACAACATTCAACACCAGGATACTTGGCTCGACCTAATGCTCACCTTCCCAAACCTTGTTTCTTCCAACGGCCAATTCTCAGCCCCTAGTTTTCCCACCACGATCTTCCTATCTTACATCCTGAAAACTGCGAACCCGTAGAATTTTGCTTTACCTCGCAAAATTCTACGGGTTACAGTCCCTAATTATCACAATAATTGATTATGGCGATGTGTGTTACTTGGACAGTGTTACAGTGTACGAATATAAAGTATTTGTATTTTATGTGTATTTTTATCTATATATGTAACTGTGTGTATTTATGTGTGTAATTGTATATGTTAGTTATAACTACTATAGCAACTGCAACCTCAGTGCACCTACCTCACCAGATTTCTACACCCCTCAGAGGTTGGCTGGTAGAGAATGCCTTGGGCATTAAGCCCGCCGTTGTACATAAGTGCATAAAGTTGTAAATAAATAAATAAATAAAATCAGATGGCTACAATAAATGGATCATTTTGTATATGAATATATGTAAATGTTTATGGTATAGGAGGGCAAACAAGCAGACGGGTCACCTGATGGAAAGTAACTACCGCCATCTGCAACTCAAGAGTCAAAGTACGTTACCGGACTTGGGAGACTTTTGGGTTCTAGTACCTTCAAGCACTCGTTGAGAAACAACAAGAGATTGGCTTAACACTGGTTTTCTGTAATGCCATGGTATTGCTCCAGTCGAGCCGGCCCATTTGTGCCAAAGCATGGCTCTCCCACGGTAAAGTATGCTCAAATATTTTTCGATTTAAAGAAAAAGGTTGGTATTGAGACCCGCAGCAATTTAATTTAATGTACTACTGTACTGCGTGGAGGATAAGAAATATAATGTTGCCAAAGACGATTTTATTTGCCTTCGCTGTTTGATATATTAAATGTAGATGACTCCAGAACGAAACGACCTCCAAAACTTCACGAAGAGAACATACTCCCACTTAAAGGACTATGTATTGTGTTCAGCAATAAATAATTGATTGATTGATACCGCAAACTCTTAAGTTGCCGTGTTTAGTTTTGCAGTGTTCATTTTAGTAGTAAAGCATCCAACGTTGACTGTAATTGGATTATATCGAATAAACTCGTACTGTTAATGAAAATTAAATCGGTAATTTGCTAGTTTTAGTAATACTTTACTACAAGAATGCCTGTTATGACTGGAGAGAGAGTTGATTTGAACTGAATTGTGACCGAACTTTTATTACAAGAATTGGACTTCTGGAATTCAAAGATGGTTGGTTATACTATATCATAGAGATTTAACCATAGAGAGAACACGGGATTTGACGGGATACAGTTGCCTGTCAGTGGAAGCGATGGCAATACAGGCAATGAGAGAGATAGATTCCCGATATATACCTCCGTCTCTCTATTTAGCTAAGCTGCCATTGGCATCTTATTAACTCCTCAAACCACAGAGCTCGGCCAGAAGAGATAGAGGGGACTATCTTTATCCATCTCTCTCGTAGCCTATATAGTACATGCAAGATTGGGCCTCTTATTCTCTCTAGGTTAAAACTCTATGCACTATATAATGAATGACACTTCTCACTTAAACTGTCAAGTGAGAAGTGTCATTCATTGAGTTCAGGTTCAGAGTAAATTTTGTTATAGAAAACTTAGTCTTCTACATGATTGTTATAAGTGTAAAGTTTGTGAAACTTTCAAAAATCAAATGGAGAATTTTTCAAGAGTTGAAAAAATAGGAGAAGGAACCTATGGCGTAGTATACAAAGCTAAAGACAGGATAACTGGAAATGAAATCGCTCTAAAAAAAATAAAACTTGAAAAGTAAGTTTTGGCGCCAAAAATGACATTTATTATGTATTTCATTACAGCAGTAACTAAAACACTATATTTTACTTATTCATATAAATTCTGTTGTGATACAGCGAAGCGAAATTATTGTTGGTGATGATTAGTATGAGGTATAGACCTGCTCAACAGCAAGAAAAAATTGTATCATAACAAAATAATAATTTATTTCTCAATAACTAACATAAAACTGTGTTTCAATTTATAATGATAACAAACATTTGCCTAATTGTCGAATATAAACATTAGACTAACAATTAAAAATCCTTTATAAAAAAAATCTCAAAACAACTGCCTTGATGTTTAATAAGCCATTTATATTGACCTTTTTGCAAATATTACCATGGTTATCTCCATTTAATTGAGATACCAAATGCAGTGAACCAGAAGGCGTACCTTCAACTGCACTGCGTGAGATCTCAGTCCTGCGGGAATTGCAGCACCCTGCTGTGGTGCAACTACTAGACGTTCTACTTGCTGACAGCAAACTGTTCCTGGTATTTGAGTATCTGCACATGGACCTGAAACGCCTTATGGATATTACAAAAGGGCCTCTGCGCCTAGATCTTGTGAAGGTAGTTATTTCTAAGGAACTAATTATGTTATGCTCACTGTCTAATTATAACTCCCCCTCAGATCATATACAAACATAAATGTTTTTGATAGGTAAGTGACAACTCTGTTTAGTGTTGGCCTACAAAGAAAATAAATTAGAGACACCTGTGGGGTTTACGAGAGTTCCACATCCAAAAACTCTCTACTTGTATCAACTACTGTACTACCAAGTACTGTACTGTAAAGTACAGTTAAATCATAACAGAGATATCTGTGTTCCAGACCAGTAATTTCTAACAAACCAGCCTAAGCTGTTTTCTGCAAAGATGTACATTCTACATAGATATATCTTTACCCTTGTCGACATACTTGTACAACTCTCAATTCGGGCAAACTACGAACCTCGCACCCGAACACATCGTAACGCGTCCGACGACGCGGTGCGATTTTTTAAATTTAGTTTCATAGATATGGGAACATATTTTCAGAGTTACCTACGGCAACTGCTGGAGGGCGTCGCGTACTGCCACGCTCATCGCGTTCTGCATCGAGACTTGAAGCCGCAGAACCTGCTGGTGGACACGGAGGGCAACATCAAGCTGGCCGACTTCGGATTGGCGCGCGCCTTCGGCATCCCGGTGCGGGCGTACACGCACGAGGTGGTGACTCTGTGGTACCGCGCGCCCGAGATTCTACTCGGCGCCAAGTTTTACTCGACCGCCGTGGACGTGTGGAGTCTCGCGTGTATCTACGCCGAGATGGCGAGCGGGCGCACGCTATTCCCGGGCGACAGCGAGATCGACCAGCTGTTCCGCGTGTTCCGCGCGCTGGGCACGCCTGGCGCGGGCGTGTGGGCGGGCGCGCGGCGCCTGCCCGAGTACCGCGCCGCCTTCCCGCGCTGGCCGGCGCGCGCCGCCCGCTCGCTGCTGCCGCCGCGCGTGCGCGCCGAGCCGCACGCCGCGGCGCTGTTCGAGGCCATGCTGCGCTACGAGCCCAGCGAGCGCGCCGCCGCCCGCGCCGCGCTGCACCACCCCTACCTGGCCGACGCGCGCCGCACGCCGCCCGACCTGCCCGCGCCCGCCACCCCCGCCACCCCCGTAACCCCCGACACTCCTTAGCGCCCACGACCGATCATCGTTTCATTATTTATATGTTTGACGTGATCTCTACTGCTCCGTTTTGATACATACTTCTTTTGATTGGCGTCCTTTTTATATCAAGACGAAGAAAATAAGCGTCTGACGATTTACATATTCCCACACCGTCGGCGAACACCACACGACCCCACCGTCGGCGAACACCGACAAAACACGACACTTAGTACTAACTACACCATTAACTTTTCCTGTATTTTCGCTGACATCACATGATATTATATATTGCTTGCATCATTTTCAAATGAAAAGTTGACTTGTTTTAACCTGGTGTCAGTCTTCATTTAAATCTACCCCATATCTCACCACGTGGAAATCGTCAAAAATGCCTCTCGTAATCAAGGACGCTCCCTAATTATGAACTGGACCAATTGAGCATTGGACTGATTATAGTAAACAAAAGTGGAGTACCAAAGGCCGTTGATCACACTCGTATATAAAATAAAATAAAAATATATTCTAGTTTTTTAATATACGGACCTTAAGCTACCTTGGTGTTTTATTTGGAAGTGACAACTGTCGGCGCTATTGGAAATCCCTAAGTACTTTTTGGGACATGGTCCTTCAAGCCAGAATTTTGGGTCTCACTTATTTGGACGTAATGCGCCCGAACGTTAAAATGTAGAATTGTTCGGAATACTTCAATACATCATTATAACAGCTGGTACCCGCGACTTCGTCTGTGTAGAGTTATCCCCTTATATAGGTATTTATTTTTGTGGGATTTATAGTCGCGAGCATCTTATAACTCCTATGGGAACATTTATTTGACTTCATGGACACCCTAGGGGTGACCTATAGCCAGTGGCGGCCTTAGGGGGTGGCGAACAGGGCAATCGCCCAGGGCCTCGCTCCTACAGGGGCCTCGCGCAACAACCCAAGCAAAATTTTAATAAATATATTATTTTTAACTATTATTTTTTATTTAAAACTTTTGATTTTGATCCATAATTACTTATTAAGGTTATAACATAACCGTAAATTAAAATTAAGTTAGTTAACTAATTCATTCATTCAAAACATAATTGAAAAGTTCATTATGTACACTGAGAGATTTTTTTCGATAACCGTAAGTACAAAAAATGACAAGTCCGCGATTCGAAGTTTATAAGTACAAATGAGTGTAAACAGAAGTAAACTTTGGGTTATTGTAACCATAAGATGTACTTTATTCTATATTTTTCTTAATCTTAGTACAGTTTTACTTATCACAACCCAAAATTAACTACGATCTACGTACATTTTCACTTGTTAACTTCGAATCGATTGAAGATCGGTTTTTTAATCGCATAACACTCGTGAGTCGGGACATAATGTTCTGCTCTTCTATCGCTCGGGTAATCCCCGTGTTTCATTTCATTTGTTAACTTTTGTCACCTTGAAATTATTTTACTTGAAGTATGAGTTACAAAATCGTTACCGTACATATCTTTCAATTTTATTGAATATTACGTTCTTATAGTATTGAAAGTATTGAGTGAGCTGGAAAAGTGTAAATTATAGTATTTGAAGTATTGAGAAAACTGAAAAAGTGTAAAAAAAACTGTGTGAAAAAACTGTGTGGTACTTAAAAAATTATTTCTGACTGTTTGTGCGGAACAAAACAAGATTTACGAAATGAGTTCGCGTGATCGTGATGCCGGTAGAAAATTTGAGTCAGGGAGTTCAAAAAGGAAACGAGCTATCAAAAGAAAGCAGGTAGAAGAAAATCTGCGTGGATCTTTATATAAATATATAAAAAGTGATGATAAAGAAACCTCTACAAAACATTTATTGACTAAAAGTGACTCTTATCCTGATCCAGCTGAAAACATTCCTTCCACATGATCACGGGTGCCGCCGCCGTCATTAAGTAAAAACAGCGAGGATGATAATGAATTAACTACGAGTACATCATTGTCTCGTAGGTCACCGATGCCACCATTAACGCTATCCAGTCAAGAACACGAATCTGAGCCCGAGTCTATGTCTACATCCATGACTGCTGGAACGGAAAATCTGAATCCTCAAAATGACCCCGGTTTGTGGCCCATAACAATCACTGATGTAGACCGAACTGAGATTGTAATAAAAGGTCCAATCCGGGTTAAAATTGATTTATTTCCTGTAAATGATAATGGACGGCGATTCAGCGAATATCATTATAATAAGATATTAGTTAACGGTGAAAAGCTTCACAGGCGCTGGATGATTTATTCACAAACAAAGGATGCCGTTTACTGCTTTCCGTGTCGAATATTCGGGTTAGAAAATACAAAGATTGGATCAAGTGAAGGAGAGTGTGGTTGGAAACACTTGGGTGATTACCTAAAGTCTCACGAACCTAGTCGACAGCACAAAGATTGTATGTTGAAATAGATTAATTTAGAGAATGGTTTAAAAAGCTGTTCCACTATTGACTTCTTGGCCCAGTCACAAATTGAACAAGAAAGGCAACGTTGGAGAGATATTTTAGAACGATTGCTCGCAATTATAAATTTTTTAGCATCTCACAATTTGGCCTTCAGGGGTCATAGAGAGAAGTTAACAACTGACTCAGATTCGAGTGAGACAAGTGGCAACTTTATAGATTTAGTAAAGTTAATAGCCCGATTTGATCCCGTGCTGAGACTTCACCTAAAAAAAGTAAAGGATAAGACGATTAATGACCACTATATCGGCAAAAGTATTCAAAATGAGCTCATACAAATAATGGCAAGTCACGTGAAGACTCAAATTGTTGAAAAAATAGTAAATAATAAATACTACTCGATTATTCTTGATTGTACTCGCGACGTTTCTCGTGTTGAGCAACTTTCAATTATTATAAGATTTTTTAATACAAATACAGCTGAAATTGAAGAACATTTTATTGGTTTCTTAGCCGTCGAAAAAAACCACAGCTGAGAGTTTGACTAATTATATAATCACAGAATTAGAACAGTTAGGTATATCATTGCAAAATTGCAGAGGCCAAGGATATGATAATGGTGCCGATATGCGTGGTGAAAAAAGTGGTGTCCAAAAACGTATTCTTGAAATTAATCCACTTGCTTATTTTTTACCTTGTGGGAGTCATAGCTGGAATCTCATCCTAGGAGATGCAGCATCGTCTTGTGTCCAAGCAAAATCTTTTTTGGTTTGCTACAAAGGTTGTACACTCTGTTTGCCGGCTCAAGTCAGAGGTGGGCTATTTTAAATGCTCATGAAAAATCATTGTTGCTATAACCACTTTCTGAAAATAGATGGGAGTGCAGGGTAGCATCGGTGAAGGCCGTTAAATACCAACTAAGTGATATATGTGATGCTTTAAAGGATTTAGCAGAAAACACAACAGATTGTCAGTTGGTCAGTGAATGCCATTCTATAGAAAAGTAACTAACTACCTACGAATTTGTAGTTTCACTTGTCATGTGGTATGACATTCTTACAAAGATAAATGTTATGAGTAAAATATGGCAAAGCGAAAACATGCACTTAGATGTGGCTATACATCACCTAGACGCATTCACAAATTGGCTCGATAATTATCGAGAAAATGGTTTTCAGTCATCCCTTGTAACATCAAGAGAAATAGCCGAGAAAAATGATATTGACAGACAGTTCAAAGAAGTTAGAAGACGACGTAAAAAAAGGCATTTTGATTATGAAGGGGAAGATGAAGCTCATGAATTGAAAGCGGAAGAAATTTTCAAAATAAACTATTTTTATGTCATTGTCGACAATGTGCGCGCAAGCTGTTATCCTAGGTTTGAGGCTCTTAAACATCATGAGAGCATATTTGGCTTCATGTATAATATAAAAAAATTAAAGGAAATTAATGATAGTGAACTTTTAAAGCAATGCAGCGACTTGCAAATATCTATGACAGTAGGAGAATTATGTGACATTAATGGACATGAATTGTACGAAGAACTGAATATGTTCATCCGTGTGTATGAAGGACATTATGACATTATCTCGATGCTAAAATACATAATAGAAAAAAAACTAACTGAAGTTTACCCCACTATCGAAATAGTCCTGAGAATTATTGCTACCACACCTGTTACAGTTGCGTCTGCTGAAAGGAGTTTTTCGAGGCTTAAAATTATTAAAACATATTTGAGGAATTCGATGACACAAGATCGGCTTTCAGACCTCGCTATTCTTTCAATCTAAAATGACGTAGCTTATTCGTTAGATTATTGTGCTTTAATTAAAGATTTTAGTCTTAGGAAAAGCCGCTAACATCAATTTTAAAATTTAGCATCTCTGTATTTGTTAATTTTGTAAATCTTTCAATGTAAAATATTTTAAAACTCAAATTTATTTGTATAATTTAAGCATTTTTCCTTAAACATGACAAATACCTAAACCAAACAACCAGACCTACTTTCGCATCACATACTTTTAACAAAGGACAAAAGACCTCGCAAAGACCTTCCGCCCGGAGCCTCGCAATGGGTAAGGCCGCCTCTGCCTATAGCCTCATCGAGAAAAAGGGCAAGGTGTGTGTCAGCCTCGAACCGACTAAGAACAAAAAGTTAAGCGAAGCGTTATTTATTTTTACTTATTCTAAGAATGTACAAATAATAGCTATACTATGTGTCAGGTTTACGGCTTCCATAACTTGAGCAGGCCGTCTTCTCCATACGTCGCCAGCAAGTTCTGATGTGGGTGATGCGTCAGACCGATCACTGCCTTCTCGTGTATCTGGACAAGATAAGTCAGAGTGAGAAAGAGCGAGCGGTTAGCGAAGATGCGAACTCAGGTGCCGTACTCACGTTGATGGTGCGCTCCAGCTTGCCGGTGGCGGTGCAGAAGGCGTAGAGCACGAGGTCCTCGCCCGCGCAGTACACGAGGCGGCCGCGCGCGCTGAGCGCCGCCGACACGAGCGCGCCGCCCTCCTGCTCGCGCCGCCCGCTCGAGAACGAGCGCACGATCTGGCCCTGCATGTTCATTATCACCACGGTGTTGGTGCGGTTGCACACCACGAAGTGGTCCGGGTTCTTGGGCGTGAGCAGCAGCGAGTTGACCGGCGGCTCTCCGCTGCCGAGCGGCTTGAGGGTGGCCGTGCACTCGCCCGACCGCACCGACCACACCTTCACGCTGCCGTCCGACGAGCCGCTCAGCACCGAGTGCCCGTCCGGAGTGAACACCGCCTCGTTCACGAACGACCCGTGTCCCCTGAACTCCTTCAGCATCTTGCCCGACTTGAGCCCGTGGATCCTGTGACACGCAAGTTGTTAGCGATCGCCGGGCGAGCGCCGCTCTCGGCGACTAGTAGACCGTCATACAAAATACCTGATCGTGCGGTCGAAGGAGGCGGATAGGATCTGTGTGTTGTCGCGGGTGAACTGAAGACACGTGACGCCCTTGGAATGGGCGCGGTCGAGTTTGCGCAGCACCTGGCCGCTCGACACCTTCCACACCTAAACAGGAAACGCTAGTGAGTGACGTAAGACGTTCAAAGCGAGGGCGATGAGAGGACAGAGTGCCTAAGGGCCTAGTGTGAGTTTATTCCACATCTACCCGATCGTCACGGTGAACGATGTGATTGGCCCGCACTGAACTCTTCATCGGTTGCGACTCTCACTAGGGCCTCAGAATTGGTACCTTAATTTTGCCATCGTTGGATCCGGCGGCGAGTGTGTCGGAATCTCGCCCGAACGCGAGGCTGAGGACGGCCTCCTCCATACTCATGTACTCCTCGTGCGCTTGGTAGCGGAGATCCTTGCGGATTTTGCCGGTTGTGAAGTTCCACACCTCCACTAGACCATCCACAGAACCCGTCACGAGATATTGACCGTCCGGTGAAAACCTGGAATGTGCAATCTAGTAATGAACCTAATATTTACTATAAGTACTCGATTTGATATCCATTAAATAATATAAATCATTAGGGAATAGCAGTGTTTATTAGTCATTACTGAGTTTCACCGGCTCATATTAAATATATTATATTCCAGATTTAGAAAGAAGGTATAATTTAAGGATCGTTATTTAAGGACTTCAAGAATTTATTGGCAATGGAAAAAAAAAATTGTTTGAATTGTTTTAGAAGCAGGCCTTTGATGTTACTTTTCGTGGTTTGTGTTAAGGCACTAAGTCTAACAAATGTTTCCGATTTGCCAATAACGAAGTTTTTGAAGTTTCCGATGTGCTATGATGCAAATAAAGTGAATATACACGGACCAACCATTGAGAGCACCCCTCTCCCTGCTACACCGCAAGGTCCGGTCTCAAGAGCGCCCTCAGACTTAGACTGACTGTCATTAGGGATAAGGACAAATGCAGGGAAAGGTCCACCAATAAATTTATACACACTTACTTAATACTGACTAAATTAAAGCTTAGCTCACCTGGCGCACTCGACGTGTGATTTCTGACCAAATTTGATGATCTTAGAGAGTTGCGTGGGACACTGGTCGTCCTCCTCGTCGCGGATGGCGGCTTTGCCACGGAACAAGTCGATGGTGGTACCTGTCAGTGTACATATCGACTCTTATTACAATACACATGGATCTAAACATACTTCGCTTTAGCTAGTCTATACTAATATTATAAAGCTGAAGAGTTTGTTTGTTTGTTTGAACGCGCTAATCTCAGGAACTACTGGTCTGATTTGAAAAATTCTTTCCCCATTTATCGAGGAAGGCTATAGGCTATATATCATCACGCTAAGGGCAATAGGAGCGGAGCACCAATGAAGAATGTTTCAAAAACGCAGAAATATTATTACCATTGAGAGACGCAGACGAAGTTGCGCGGGTCAGCTAGTTATTCAATACAATAATTATTAGACTATAGTGGTGTATGTGTGTCCGAATGTCTTTTAGAATTCAGGATCTTTGAGAAAATAATCGATAATGAACGCGTTATTCTCATATAACTGAAGGCATTAGCTTCAGTTAAATGACAGTGTTAGTGATTAACCTGGCGGTAGTAGCCCTTGATGCTGTTGCCACTTGAGCGCTTGCCCCAGCAGCGCCAGCAGGCGCGAACTGGGCACGACGGACACCTCCCCCGCCAGCGATGCCGCGATGCACGCGCGGCGACGCTCCTTGCCACCGCCGCTGCCGTACGCCTCGCGAGGATCGAAGTATGAGCGCGCCAGCAGGTTCTCTGTGTGCGAGCATTGCGTTTATTTGCCATACGGTTGGTAAGATAGCTAACTACCTACCTTGCCGAACGATCGTTGATTTAGATCAACAATCGCTCGAGAACCTACCGAGGTGGATGTAGCGGTCCGTCTCCTGTTGCTTCATGAGCAGGCAGGGATGGGTCTGGCGCAGCAGCGAACGCGCGGCACCGAGCTCGCGCAACTCGATTAGCTCCAGCACCACCTGCTCGTACAGCTCCATCAGCTTCTTATCGGGCAGCTTCAGGGATGCTGTAGCCTTCAGCACTGTGTCCCAATGGCCATTGTTGATGTCGGCACAGAAGCCGTCCACGCTGTCCACAGTGTTCAGGGACACGCCCGTCTCCTCCTGTTGTTATATAAACTCGTCACAGTCATGTTCAGATGAAAAATGTCTTCAGTTCATACATGTTACTGTATCTATTATCATCTATCAATGGATAGTTTACTAATTGTAAGCCGATTTTTAAATGCAATAATGTCGGGGTAAGTTTTAGGACCCCTTCTTTAAATTTTGCATGTTCTGCACATTTTCATTCATATTTATTAGCTTTATCTTATGCATAGTTTACATGCTTGTGTTAGTGTACTCAGAGTCATTCGAACATAGCAGACATGGACATATTTTTATTCCTATAGTGAGAATTTTATTTGTGCTTTTCAAAAAGAGGCAGCTTCTTCCCTCCTGAAGTGGATGATATTGTTGGATATGGTAGCCAGGACTACTACACTACTGCTACTAGGATATGAGGATTTTTTATTTTTATAAGAGACAACTCCCGCATTATGAATATATCCTGTGTTGCGGGGGACTTTACAGACATACATGAAACGGACACAAAGAATACCAGACTTCTAACAACAATTTGTGGATCACACAAAGTGTGGTCCCATGTGGTTTGAATCCGCAACACTCAGAGCAGTGGGAAGCGGCTCGGCGACCGCTTTAACATCATTGATTGATTGAGATGATTTATAAAAAAACACTGTACATTAATTTACAGAACTTGGGGTCACATATTGTGAGGATCAACTGCTACTTGTACTGAATTATTGGAATGACCTAACTCTTATTTGACACAGAATCAGTGATTTTAAGTACATTCTAACAGTAGTCTGGTATAATCAAGTGTTTACTTAGTATAATGAATTTGCATTGAATGTAACTGCACTGTTACTGCTTGTATAAATAAATTGTAAAAGCCTAACATTTGAAGCTTCAAAATCCATAGAAACTTAAAAATATCATATCAGTGTAACCTCGCATTGCACAGCACTCTCCCTGATACATTCAAACGTTACCGAGTACAAATACTTTAAATTTGGGTTATGTATTGGCTTGAATGTGGTTATTACATATCTTACTGTTTTACTTAGCAGTATGGCAGAGGTGATGCAGGCTACAACTCTACACATGACATCTTTTTGATCAGCTCTATCAGCAGATTCACCTGAACCACTTTTTGAACATTTTGTTAACTTTGCAGTTTGTTTCTCAAATTTGTTTCGTAATTAAATCAAAATGATTTAAATCATCTTTTGAAAACCCAATTCGCCTTCTTTTATTAGCTAAGAGAGAAGATAATCAAGCATTCACCACTCCTGCACAATGGTGTGGAATATTTATGCTGAATTTCGTTATTACACCAAGTGCTTCTTTGTTTTGCACAAAACTTGGGCTTGTAGTTTGTCCAATATTAAAGCAAAGAAAATCGTCGTAAATCACAAGGTGTTGTGCACTTTAGTGTAATTCAACATTTCCTAGACGTACCTGCAACGTTTGTAGCGTCTTAGTGAGGTTAGATTCTTTCAAGTACTGCTGGATCAGACGGATTACACTGGAAACACATTTGACTCATTAGTTTAACATTAAATAATCTTATTATGGAATATTTAGATTATTTACTTACTCAGCAGATTCAATTTCTATTGACATTGTTGAATATTTTTAAGGCTACTTATCACAGAATTTCGTTAAAATATAGGTTACTTATGAACTTGGTAGATCTGATATGCAAATATTGATATACAGAATCAATTCAATCAATAACAGTCAAGTCGAATAAACGTTCCAACAGAAGTTATATTTATAAACAAAACTCTCGCATTTGTCACTGACATAACTATAGACAAACAAAATCAGAACAGCGAAAAGTATTGCCACACAAAAAAAGTCTATGCTCTGACTTACGGAACAACAAATAAAAGTACACCGTACGGTTTTGTCTACTAATTAAGTATTGAAATTACTATGAACACCGATGGCTAAAAACACTTCAATACCTTAAAGATACTAATATAATGAGCTTTATCCCTTTGTTCTTGTTGATACCGAGATCTCATCCAAGAAAAATGAGAAAAGTGAGCAAGTGAAGTTTGAAAAACATGTTTTACTTAATTCGACTAAAATCAAAGTGATCTAGATACTCATAATTACTGTCATCATCATCATCAACAACTTTCAGTAATCCTGCTGTACGTAGGCCTTTCCTTCCTCCTACTCCTCCTGGCCAACTAGGTATACCACGCTGGCTAGACAGGTTGATATACCGGGTAAGTTAGTTTCAAGTTTTCCTTCTCTTTGCAGTGCTGTTGTCTTGCGTAGTTTGCTCCCTTGGTCAACTCTTACGGAAGGAGAGAAAGCTTAAAATCCTTACTCATAAATTGTATTCCAAATAAGACCTACCATGAGCTTATTTTATTACAGACATTTAAATACAATCAGGTTGAAATTCACATTAACAAAATTTCCATCTTTACGACCTTGTTATCTTTTATTTAATTGCACAGAGAATATTATCTGTTATTTGCAGTCTCCATGTTTGTTAAGAGAATATAAATGTGCAGTTTACGCTGAATGCACACGCTGTACAAACTGTGCACCGTATAAAGTATATAAGCGATGTCGCAGCAGGGACGATGTCGATTTGGATGTACCGATGGTCCGACGAAGTCCTCCACCCCCTCGACGACCCGCCAGTTGTGTATGTGACGGGCCAGGCCGGAACTCGCGAAGGACAGATCGACTATGGACCCGGCCTGGGCCCGCACAAACGTGTGGACCGCCCCTCGGTTTAGCCATTTCCCCCCGGCTTTCGGTCTCCGGGGATCCTCACGCCCGTGAGTGAGCGTTGAAATCCCCGGCCACAACAGCCGGGGTGGAGTGCGCTTCTGCCAGCAGAGCCCCGACCTCCGTGAGCAACTTCTCGAACTCGGCGAGGCTTCTGCTAGAGGGACAGTACACCCCAACTACTGCAACGCCGCCCAACGCGACGAGTACGCATCCTCGGCCCCTTCGCACTCTGTCGAAGGGAGGAGGCGCTTTATGTCGCCCACCTTTATGGCGTCGGCAGAATAGCCCTTGCCAGCGACGCCGCCACCGTATCTTTCGAAGCCGGAGTCGCTCAGGCCAGAGATGCGCATCTCTACGCATCTCTCCGGCCTAGCGACGCGGATCTCCTCCAGCACCTCCCTGAGCCTCGCGGCCCGTTAAATATCAGCTGGTCGGCTTTCTGGGCTCTATCGGCGCCAGCCACCTTAGGTTAGGTTTTTTTTTTTGATGTGGTGGCATGCGTTTAGGCACTTCGCTCCTCCGGGACTCCTGACGGGCCAGACTACCCACTAAACCACCACGGTGTTCCTCCTTCGCCTAATCCGAGCCACGGGATAGTTTGCTCAGCGCGACTCGGCTAGGGACGCCCTATTTAATGGGCTCACCTCTCGAGGCCCCACCATCCGACAAATACCGTGCCCAGATAGTGGGCCCGTCTTCCTCGGACGGACGCTGGCCTCGAGATCCCAGGGGATACTGGCCGCAATCAGACACGCCGCCTCGTAGGAGACGATGTGGTACGCCCGTGCAGCCCGCTGCGCGATGGCGCGCTGCGGACGCCGCAGCAACTTTGGCGCCAGCTGACGGAAATGCTCCGTGAACCGCCACCGACAGCGATGGGGATGCCGCCCACCACAATCGACCTGTCTCGAGGCGGCGTCTGTCGAGGCCCGTGGAAAAAGAGGGCCTCAGACTTTTCCAGGGCGACTGTTAGGCCGAGCGCCCCGATGCGACGCACTACATGGGCGACGCCTGCCCGCGCGCCGATTCCACAAAGATTAGCACCGTGCGGGACCCAATCGTAACCTAGGTTCCACAGGAGCGGCTCAAAGACCGACTCCTGCGGAACAACCCCACCTTGGGCCGGGTAGATGATGACCCGGTCCACGAAGTAGTCCGCAAGGACGCTATATAAAATCTTACTTGACAAGCAGGAAACAAATCACATCTCTAAGCTAGGTATGTATTAAGTCAAGAATAGAAAAGAATTACACTTCTAATCAAAGATTAACCAAATATGGAGTACCTCAAGGAAGTATTTTAGGGCCATTACTGTTTCTCATTTATATTAACGACATGCCCAAAGTCACACATCATCCAATGGTGTTATTTGCAGATGATAGCACTGTGCTTTTCAGTACTAGTCATAATCACTTGACGTTCGAAACAGAAATAAACGACTGCTTGAGAACGTTAATTGACTGGTTAGAAGCAAATAATTTAAAATTGAACCTCGATAAAACTAAACTCATGACGTTTGTACAAAAAACCAATCACAATAAACCAGTGGTAAGATATGGTACTAAAATAATAGAAGAAACGAATTCCACTAAATTTTTAGGTATTGAAATAGATAGGGCTATGTCTTGGCAAACTCAGGCAAATAGTATATGTAAACGACTGTATCAATACTCCTATGCGCTTTATAATCTTTCCAAGATAGTGAACCAGAAAACCGCACTTACAGCATATCACGCTTTTGTTACATCTACATTGCGATATGGTGTTATATATTGGGGCAATTCAACAAATAGGGAAAGTATTTTCAAAGCCCAAAAAAGATGTGTTCGAGCGATATGCCGCATACAGATGACTGATAGCTGCAGACCTCACTTCTTGTCACTTCATATATTAACATTACCTTGTTTATACATATATGAGATGGTAATGTTTATAAGAAATAATTTCTATCTTTTTGAGACTTTAAATAGTGCACGACATAATCATAAAATTAATTTTACCCTACATAATAAAACGATATTTAAGAAAAACCTACTAGGAATGACACCACAAAAAATTATATAACAAACTTCCAAAATCTCTCTTACAAATTGCAAATAATAACATTTTTAAGACAAAACTAATGAGCCTCTTGGTTAATAAGGTTTATTATACAATAGATGAATACTTAGCGGACAAAATTTGAAAAAAGCAATGTAAAAGAAAATCTATACTAATATTATAAAGCTGAAGAGTTTGTTTGTTTGTTTGTTTGTTTGAACGCGCTAATCTCAGGAACTACTGGTCCGATTTGAAAAATTCTTTCACTGTTAGGTAGCCCATTTATCGAGGAAGGCTATAGGCTATATATCATCACGCTAAGACCAAAAGGAGCGGAGCACCAATGAAGAATGTTTCAAAAACGGAGAAAATTTATTACTATTGAGAGTCGCAGACGAAGTTGCGCGGGTCAGCTATTATTGTATAAAGCCAGACTTGACAAATACGTATAATAATATATTGTATGGTTTTGAATTTAATTTATAAATATTATGTATAAATATGTTGACAATTTATGAAATTATGTTACTTTTATAATTTTTCTTTATGTTATTGGTGTTATTTTGCCTGTTAAACCCTATTTAATTTGTATTTGTATCTTTTGACATATTTTGTCAATTTTGTGGACATGATATTGGTGTGAATTGTATGCTTTTAATTTAAATGTTACTGAAGGACTAATTATGCATGCCTTAATCGGCCGAAAATGATTTACTTTGCATCCAATGACACCTTAGATGTTACATGACTATGTATTATGTTCAGCAATGAATAAATGATTGATGATTGATTGATTGACGCGCCTGAGGTACCACAGGACATTGTGGTACCTCAGCGCCTCCGCAATGGTCTCCCAGGGGAGCGATACAGCCAACACCACCTCACCCCCAGATACCGCTTCGTCGACGCTGTCCCGCAGTCGAGATTGTCGACCTCCCGCGACGGAAGCCGAACTGTCCATCACTCAAGTTGGGCCCCGCCCCCTCCAGGTGGACGCCCATGGAGGAGTTGTAGAGACGATCCAGTAATGGATCAAGTCTCCAACCTCCTGGTCCAGACGAATCTCAACCACTGTGCCGCGGCGCAGGATCTCTTCCTGCAAACCATGGCACAGTGGTCGATAGGTGTTGCCGTAGTCGCGGAGTCGTCGGCTCCACGGCGGCTCATTCCCCGCCCTTGTCGCTAATAGACAAGGGTACTGGATATGTTGCCGCCGATTGGGGGGGGAATCACCATTTATGGTGTATATTTCTCCCCCAACCGGAGTTTGAACGACTTTGAGGTCTTCCTTAACAACTTGGTGACCTCGATGCGGCGACTTGTGTCTGGGCACGTCCTCGTGCTGGGGGACTTCAACGCAAAGTCCATTGCTTGGGGTTCCCCTGCGAGGGGCGAAGCCGTCGAGGAGTGGGCGGCGTCGGTGGGCCTCTGTTTGCTGAACAGGGGCTCCACCAACACGTGCCTGCGATAGCAGGGGGGGGGGTCGATAGTGGACCTTTCGTCCGCTACCCGGCCCCTCCGTGCGGCCTGTGTACGTGCCCGGAGGTCCCTCACCCGTAGTCGGCGACGTCACCGCGGGGTCGGTGAGGAGGTGGACCGGCTTTATGAGGAGTACCGAGAAGTTCGGAAAACTCTGAGGCTGGCCATCTGCCGCGCCAAGGATGTCGGTAGAGAGGAGATGCTGGAGAGTCTCGAGCGTGACCCCTGGGGTCGCCCTTATCGGTGCGGTGCGTCAAAAGCTCCGCGCGTCGAGCTCCCCCCTTACGGAGACTCTCCAGCCCAGCTTCCTGCAGGAAGTGGTCGAGGGCCTATTCCCGCAGCGG